AGTTCTATCAGTCTCAATTTGCGTAGACAGAATATGCTCAATGCATTCTAAACAACAGGCACCACCATTCAATCTTTTCCTCTCTTCGGTACAGTTAAGTTTTAGCTATAATGTCGCGCTGTGAGATATTTTTCTCCGATCGCAGTAGCTGCCTAAAAAAATTCACCATATCTTTGAAACGAGTTCAGATTTCGTAAGGTTACTTAGATTTTCTATAGACTAAACACTGAAGCAACGGAAACATCGAAAACAGTTTGTGATTTTCCATGATTACTTAGTAAAATCATGAATCAAAACTATGGACGAAAATTCATAAAAGAAGCAAAAATAAAGATATTTCCTGGGGATTCGGAGCCTGGAAAATTCCAAACAGGCAGGCATAAGGAGGCTACCTTTCATAGTTGTTTTAATGTTCGCAACTTTTTGAAAAAATTAATTTTCGCAACTTAAGATCTGCAAATTTTTTGATAAAAAGAAATTATGTTTTTTTTTTGCTTTGTTCTCGCCTTTCAAATGAATGTATAGCGAAGGGCTGGGGGGGGTTTGAGAAGTGACGTCATTGGCAATATAATTAGAGAAGTCAGAGAGGTGCTGACACAGGGGCAGGGGCCTAAAAATCTTTAAATTGGTAGGTGATATCATTTATGTAGACCCTGTCATGAATGTCAAATGACTTGTCTACACTTAACTATCGAACTTGTTTCAGCCTGGTGGGGGGTAGAGTGGCCCAAGTAATATTTCCGTTAGTTGCGAACAGTTGAGCCTGAGCTGGCTGACTCGGCCGGGGCTGACTCGGCCGGGGCTGACTCGGCCGGGGGCTGACTCGGCCGGGGCTGACTCGGCCGGGGCTGACTCGGCCGGGGCCTGATCGCGGGCTGACTCGGCCGGGGCTACTCGGCCGGGGCTGACTGCCCGGGCTGACTCGGCGGGCTGACTCGGCCGGGGCTGGACTCGGCCGGGCTGACTCGGCCCGGGGCTGACTCGGGCCCGGGCTGACTCGGCCCGGGCTGACTCGGCCCGGGCTGACTCGGCCGGGCTGACTCGGCCCGGGCTGACTCGGCCCGGTCGGGCTGTGACTCGGCCCGGGCTGACTCGGCCCGGGCTGACTCGGCCCGGGCGTGATCGGCCCGGGCTGACTCGGCCCGGGCTGACTCGGCCCGGGCTGACTCGGCCGGTTGCTGACTCGGCCCGGGCTGACTCGGCCCGGGTGACTCGGCCGGGCTGACCTCGGCCCGGGCTGACTCGGCCGGGCTGACTCGGCGACTCGGGCTGACTCGGCCCGGGCTGCCGGCGGGCTGACTCGGCCGGGCTGAGCTCGGCCCGGGCTGACTCGGCGCGGGCTGACCGGCCCGGGCTGACTCGGCCCGGGCTGACTCGGCCCGGGCTGACTCGGCCGGGCTGACTCGGCCCGGGCTGACCGGCACCGGGCTGACTCGCGCCGGGCTGACTCGGCCCCGACTGGCCCGGTGACTCCCGCCTGTCGCCGGACTGGCCCGGGCTGACTCGCCCGGGCTGACTCGGCCCGGGCTGACTCGGCCCGGGCTGACTCGGCCCGGGCTGACTCGGCCCGGGCTGACTCGGCCAGGGCTGACTCGGCCCGGGCTGACTCGGCCCGGGCTGACTCGGCCCGGGCTGACTCGGCCCGGGCTGACTCGGCCCGGGCTGACTCGGCCCGGGCTGACTCGGCCCGGGCTGACTCGGCCCTTGACACGCTTGGTCGTTTATAATAATGTATTGTAAACGCGAAAGTGGGTTGAGCCCGGTTAACTTTTCTACTGCGCATGCGGAATAAGGTTGCGAACCATTTTTATGGACGAAACCGTTTTTCGATTTCTCAACTTTCTAGAGCCGAACTTTTAAGGCACACAATTATAACCATGTTTGAAACTAGCAGAAGTTTTGAAAATGGAAAAAATTCCATGTAAAGGGAAGTTTCCATAACTTCTTTATCAAAACTACTAGTTGAGGTCTGAAAAACTCTTGACCTGTTATGCCGATGATCGTTGCTTTGCGGTTGTGGTCGCATGTCTCATTTACAATATCGCATGGCACATTCATGTATCCAGTTGTATGACTGTGTTTATTCAAACAGGCTCATTCATCTTGAAGCGTCAAATGACTTGACCCGGATTTCACTGTGGTTTACGAGTGTACCTTGCAAGTGCGATCAATAAAATTCCGTCTTCTACGGACTTAGAACTTCTCTACATACAGGTACGAAAAAGTTATTTTGTACCAAAGGAACTAATCGAATGGCTCAAAAATTTGCACACGGCCAGGACAGATGTCAGGTAAGCAAAGTGTGTCTCAAATTTGTGTAGCTGGGAATCAATTTACTGCAAACTATGTCATAATTCAATTAAACTAAGAATTATACTTGAACAAATTAGCGGATTAATTAACGACGTTTCGAGCATAGCCCATTATAAAATTAGCATATTTATGTCATAATTGTTTCTTAAAACCTCGTGCAATTTATGACGGAATGGGGAATTATATTGCAAGCAAAACGGGGGCTTGTCCCCGGAAAAATATTTCAGAAAATTCAGAAAATGCCAAAATTCAATGTCTTTTCTTTTCACAGTTTGCTTTAGGAATAAGATTCTCAGTCAAATTGACTGTATTTGAAACTCTGAAAGAGTGGCAAAATATTTAGGTGTCCAATGATGTAAAGTGGTTTGCAGATTTTGAAAGTTAGACTGAAGCCCAAACCAAAGCCTAAAGCCATTTTTCAGTTAGCGCGTTACTATCTTCTAAGATTTTACAGAGAAAGCAACTTCTCTTTCCAGCGTAGGTGACGAGATTATTTTCGATTAAACACGCAATGTTCTGAAATTTAGCAAAATAATGACTTCATTCTCATCAAATGGTAATTTATGAATTTTTGAAAGTTTTAGAGCGTTTTTTTGAAAAAATAAAGAGGTGCTTTAGCTCCGACTAGCCTAGTATAATGCCCGTACAATAATGGTCAGGCATTGAACATATGCTTATAAAACTATTGACTTTTCAGAAATATATCTAACAACATCATTTGGAAAAATGGGTTCTAAGGGATCCTCATGCCACCCGTTTGTGCAAATTGATAATTTTGCAGATTGATGGGCTCCTTCTGTATGAGAAAGACATTTTAAAAAGGACAAAGAGTCTCTCAAGACTGAATGTTTACTGAATGTTTCATCTTCGACAAGATCAAATTACGAAATTTAAAGCAATACTGACATTTACAGGAGATGTTTTGCTTTTGGTTCTGGGAATTTCGCTTTGTTTTAAGTTTTGATAAGAGAGTCTTTCCGATGGTTATACGAGAATTACAATACATGAACTCTATATCGAAGTGACGAGGAAAACTCGCATTTTGTGAACAAAGCAGGAATCTGGGATAGCCGCAAAAAGACATTTTCACAAATCCCAAAATTAAATACTGCACATTTTGGAAATCAATACTGCACGTTAAGTGTGTAATACTGCACACTAAAATAGGCCCTGGAAAGAGCATTATCATTCAAAAAAGGAACATGCACAAATTACATAACAAAATATAGGCAACATTGGAAAAATCCTCTTCCCCCTAATTTATCATCTAATTTACATCATTTATTGATCATTATGACCGTAAAAATTTGTGTGAACCCCCTCCCTCCATCTTTGATTAGGTAATATGTGAACGTTCGATAATTTCGAACCCAACTGCCAACGCATCGATAATTTTATCCAGATACAACCATTCTGAATGGAAAAAACATAGGATTGTACTCAGTTAATGCTTCAAAAGTGAGAACCCTCTCAGCTATTCGATATCAGGTATTTGAAATAATTCGCATTAGTCATAAGTGAAGAAACTAATTTGCGTTAGTCTTGGTTAATCACAAGTCTTGGGCGTTTTTGAAGATATCGGAAAACTGTTCAATAAATTGTACAATTATGAGGAATTGGCAGAAAACTGGTGGAAATTTGATACATCATTGATACAGTTTTTCTCAATTTAATGGTGAAGCTAACTAAGCTGTAAAATCTATTACGCCGAAACAAATAACCACGGCGAACTTTTTATGCAAACGTTCTTTCGAGAGGTCAATTGATGGTTGTAATCAATTTTAGTTATGTGCGAATATTAATAATTGCCATTCGAAAGTTTTCAAGTTTTTGAAAAATATTACTCGAAGCAAGGGCGTACCGGGAAAGTTTTCACCAACAAAAAGTCCAAAAACAGAAGAGATGAAGGTGCCAGTGGAGTTGACCCTGAGAACACCGAAAAACATGTTCCCTTGCAAGATAAGGGTGCTTTTTGATGCAGCAATTGCTGATCAGCAAGTAGCATCCCAGCAAGTTAAAGAAAAATAAACAGCAGAAATGGGAAAATCTGAAGAAATGAGAAGGAAATCAGTAGAAACAATGGGAAAAAGCAGGAAGAGAAAGGAAGGGGAGGTAAAAAATGTAAGTGAAAAGAAACGTAACGTTCGGCAGAAAACCTTTCAAAATTATTCAAGAAAGAATCAGAGTTGGCAGTTGACTCAATCCGGGCTGACTCACAATTGCGTTTGGAAACCAAGTTTAGACCCACTTTCCGTTTAAAATACAAATTGAAGAGAGTTTACCCTGGGTGAACTCAACACAGGTTAAACCCGGGTAGCTTTTTGTAGTGTAAACCGGGCTTTCGATTGGTAATAATTTCTCTTGCTTTCATTATTAAGCGTCGGACGAAGAGTTCAAGTGAATTTTGTTCCACTTTTCCGAGGTATTATGAACATTATTTCTTCCTTGTACCTATGTTGTAATTTTCTAAATGTATTATCAGTCATTCTATCAGTTCAATTTGCGTAGACAGAATATGCTCAATGCATTCTAAACAACAGGTAATGTCGCGCAGCATTTTCCCACACTTTTTCTTTAGAAA